GAAAGAGTTGTCAGCTTTGAAGTTTCTCATGACCTAGAGTAGCTCTTTAAGTTGGTTGAATATTATGAAACCAGCCAATTGTGCTGTTCAAAGCTGGACTCTTTTTCTGAAAGTTTCCCACCATTTCTAATGCAGCTTTACCAGTGTTAACAAGGAGAGAAACACTAAGATAAACAAGGTGCTAGCAATTGCTTGGATTTTAACTAAAATTTCTCTGAAAAGCTTAAACATCATAGTGATTAAAATAGCAGCAGCTCCTCTAACCAGTATGCTACCATTGGCAGAGCTGCATCGGTAGTAGGAATGGTAGTTAACATTTGGTTGTTTTTATAGGTGCCCACAGCTTTTCAGATTCCCAGTGGTATCTGCAGAAACATTATAATATAATATAAAACATTATCAGGTGTTGGTGGATGAAACAACTGTGGTTGTTGCCACGCCTTTAGTGTTCAGTGAAAGCAGAGGCAGGTTGATGTCACAAGCAACCAGGATAAGTGATTATTTGCAGAAAAATTAATGCAGGAGTGGCCAACCTGAGGTACAGGTGCCACAAGTGGCATAGGCAGCCTCTGTGTGGCTTGCAGCACAGCAGCAGATAGGACACGAAGCTGAAAATAGAGGAGCTGATCAGGCAGGGAGCAGAAAGCAGGGCAGCAGATCAGAGTGGAACTTGGGGAGGGTGTAGGGCTAATTTGTGGCATTTCTGCCAAAAAGGTTGACTACGAATGGGCTAACACATCTGTCTTCCATCTTTGGTTTATCCTCTGAAGCCAGTTGTAATGGGTCTCTTGATACAACATGTGGTAACAGTCAGCAGTATGGTCCAAATTTTAACTGAACTAAAGCCAGAGTAAAATAGCACTCTTTGCTTAACAATTTTAAACCTTTAGCGGTTTGTTCTTTTCTTAAATATTGATTTATTTGTGCTTCTTGGCCTCTGGTAGTTCTGAACAACAGCAGGAAATAAAGTACAAAAATAACATTGCGTGTAGTGCTGAATGTATCACTTTTCTCAGGAGACGGTCCATGATAAGAAGTGTTGTTTTTCCAGAATGTGTTAAGCCATTTTTAATTGCATCTTAAGGAAAAAAACCCCAAAACAAAGCAGCCCAATACCTCCAAAGTTCTTGTTGAGCAATGTTTAATGAAAGCACAGATAGTCTAAGGACTGTATCATACACAGTTTCAGAGAAGTGACATCTGTGAGGTCAATATCTTGCAAAGGCACCTACCATAGGAAGGCTGAAAATTTGAGAACTATTTTATTTAAGCTTTGCTTGTCCAGTGGTATTTTTGTAGATATTATCTGTTGTTATATATAGGTTTCCCTCACTTTATGCGGTTTCTGTATGTGTGAATTCGCTCTTCTGTGATGACCCTTTTTATACCAAAAATTCGTTATATGCGAGGTAAATTCACCCTTATGCGATTTGTGTGGTGGACGCCTGCAGTCAGCTGCTTTGTGCAGTGCATTGTGGGAGTGATATGCATCAAAATATAGTCTGCTGTGTGGATCTGTGCTCCTTGCTCATCTGCGTCATGTTTCTGTAGTTGCCCACCCCCATTATGATAGTGTTGTGTGCTTGTGTGTACTGTCTGCTGTTGCTGAGTACCAAAATTATCTTGTAAAAGTGGTAGAATTGCACCTGGGGGTCAGTACAGTCAGGGGCTTGGAATGTATACCTGTTTGTTACATTGTAAAGTGGGTTCCCATTATGCGAATTTGAGTTGTGCACCCTTTTCCAGCAACGCATGTACAGTATAAAGCAAGGGAAACCTGTATAAAGCAAAGTTAGTTCTGGGTCTTTGTCTTCCCTTGGGAAGTGACAGTTGTCTTTGAGAGAAAAGAGTACATTTCATACTACTTCTGCAATGATCACACTTTAGAAAGAAGAGCTTTCTAAAGCCAGAAATGGAAAAGAGAAGAAGACTCAGAAGTTCATTGTCATCTTGCCTTGTAAAGCTAATTTATTAGGATATGACAGCGAGGGGTGTTATTGAAAACCCATAGGAAAGCACTCTGTATTGGTGACTATATGTTTATCATGATGTCGTGGAATCATAGAAAAACAGGCCTGGAAGGGACCTGAGGAGGTCATTTAGTCCTACTCAAGCTAGGATCATGCCTAGCAAGACCATACTAGACAAGAATTTATATAACCTGTTCCTAAAGCTCCGGGAATAAACCATCGCATATTGCTACCAAGCATAATGGCCAAAACATCAAAAATAGTCTTCAGCTTGCCACAGGTAAAAGGGGAATGAGGGTGCTGTCAAGGTCCTGCCACTACAAGGACAGGAATTAGTTTGTTAAAATAAGCTCTAGAGCTATAAGGATGTATGTCTCCCACTACGGGGGAAGGCGAAAAACCACAGTCCATATCAGTTGACAGGTCTCCCAGCCATGTGAACACATGGTGAGCAGGTGGGTGCACCCCTGTGGCTGGGAGCCCCCCAGCCATAGCGGAGCATCTGGCCACACGTTCAATTGATGACATAATAAGAATAAGCTAGGAAGTTATTACACATTTTTTGTGGAATAATTTTGTACCTTATTTATCATGCCATTAATCGATTGAACATATAGCTGGGTCACAACTTAAGGTGTGATTAACTGGTTACTCACACCTTAAGAGTAATGTGTAGATGGGACCTATGAAGCAATACATATATTTGTGTAAGTTAGAGTCCATTATCACATTCTCAATCGATGTGTGAGAGAATCTGACATAGTGTGTATGCTGAGTCCATTCAGGAAAAGGTAAGAGAATGTAGTGTGTAACATCCATCTATGTCAATCTTCTTGATGTATTTGCTACCCCTGCTTCATCTTAGTAGGAGTGGGACAGATGTAAGCAGTATTAAGTGAGTCTAAATTCTTTACATTGACTTCTCAATTTGGTTATGTTCACAAAAATTAAAAAATGGAAAAAAAAAAAGAAAAATTAGTCATAATATGCTAATGTTGATTCAGTGCTGAACAGTTGTTGCACTTTTAATAATATCAGTATTTAAATAACAGCTTGTAAAGGGGGATAATTAAAAAATGGTGATGCTTAGGAAGACTTATGTATTTGTCTGCACCATCCAAAGTACAATTTGGGTTAACAGTTTGGTAAAAAGCACCCAATTCTCAGGTAGATTGTTGATCATCAATAAGTTGAAGTTTATTCTCTGAATTTATTTAATCATGATGATAAACTTTATAATAATATTGTGGTTGACTTTGACTTTTTTCCCTTCCCCTCCATCCATGGTAGTGGAAAAACTAAAAGTTTAGTGCTTATATTCTACCAGCTAGAACAGGCATTTTAGGGAACACTGAGTGTGGGACAAGAGCATCAGTCTTCATATTTTCATGACAGCTTTTGATTTTTTTCATAATGTTGCATCTTTTTAGAAGTAATTACTGTAGTAATTAGTTATATAATATATATGCTTGTCTTCAGGTGAGCCATTTAAAATAGTAATTTATATTGGATTTCATGTTCCTAGGACAAGAAAAGAAAATTTTATATCTACTTTTCAGCACAGCAGCTACTTCTAAATGGCAATTTGCAAAGAAAAACATTGTTAACTTTGTGAGCACTGTGAATACACAGAGGTTCTCATAATAAACAACAGTAACAAACGTGTAAACTATTACATAATCGCTTCTGGAATAAGAGGTATATTAACTGCATTTGTGAGCCTTACACTATGCATAGCTTACAGTATGCTAAAAATCTTAATGAATTATGCTTTCAATTGCCGTTTACAGTTTGCTTCTATCATGTGTATATCGAAAGTTATTAAAGTTTAAAATCGCACACAGACTTTATAAACAGTCTATATCAGTGACTGGTTTCACTTGATCCAATATTATAGATATTATGTAATCACTTTTGGTGACTTTTTTGGCAATTTTTTTTTTTTCTCCCCCTCAGTTGAGGCTTCATTAATGCCTCCCTATGCTAGTTGAGATAAGGTGAAGGGGAGGAATTTTTTTGTTTACCTCTGTCTGGTCAGCTGGCAGAGATCCACAAACAAATCAGAAGAGGAAACAATGGCAATAGCTACACCTGAATCATAAACATGAGGAGTATTTACTGATTCCATCCAATTAGTTGTTTTTTGGGGGGGGAATTCCAGGCTTGCATTTATCTTCTGGAGTTGTAGGAATTGGAGAATGCCATAATCAGTCTTCTTGCAGAGAATTTCAGAAATCATAGAATTTGAGGCTTTCACTCTACCATCCAGGCTGAGGGAAATGGGGAAGCCCAAGCAAAGGGGTCAGATTTATTCTGGGTGTGGATCAGCTATGCGTTTTTCTCAGCGCCATGCTAAGATCACTGTTCTTTCCAGGAATTCTTACCACTAGCTAGTGCCCCCTGTGCTGACAGAAGTGTTAACCTATATTTTCTGTCTGGTTTGTTATATTAAAACTGAGCATTTTAAGTGGCAGT